AATACATGAAAGGTGAATGTAACGCGAGCAACTAAACGATAGCAACGCTAATACGAATTAAGTGGGCAATTTTCGTAATGGGGAGGCCAGTGATATAGGAATGGGTGACTGGACGAATGATCACATTCAATTAATCAATGTAATTACCACCCATAAGTTTGGCAGTGGCCATCGGGTCTTCGAATGCCCTGTCCTTCACCTGCCCAACTGTGCCGCAAACCCAGCTGATCGGATCCCTCTATCCCTAATCCGAGCAGTGAAGAAGCATCTCGTGCATCATGGTCTATACAATGAACAGAATTATCAAGCCTCTAAATTAAAAGCATCTCCCATCAGATGTATTTCCATGCAGGGTGGATCTGTTTCTACATCTCTCCCAGGTGGACGTCATTTCAAGATCTCTATCTGGATCTCTACATCTCTATCAGGTGGATTTCATCTCTATCTCAGGATCCCATCTTCATCACCATCTGGATCCCTCTCTATAGCTATCTCAGGATCTCTTCAACGACTCTCAAATTCACCTGTATCACCAGCTCTACTATCGAGTTCATTACATCACAACATGTTCTCCCTTCTGCTACAACCAGCTGAACGACAGTGGACCGCGGTGCTGGATCAACCGCGAAGATACAACTTTTTATCCCTTTCCCTTTTCTTTAATTCCCTTGCTACAAATGGCGCCCAACGTGGGGCTTTGATAATTCTCAAATTATGAAGCTGGTAGACTGGCACAAGCCGCCGAACCCGAGGTTGATGAACTGGAAGTCAACGGTACGGAGAAGAAGAAGAAGTTGAAGAATTGAGCAGGTGTTCGAAATACTGACAGCAGTGGAAGTGAACGTGCTGCAGGGGTCGACGTGAAGGAAGAGGATGAGCTAAAGAAAGCTGTGGGAAGATGATGAAGCCTATGATGGCGGCTGATGAAAGGAAGTGGTTTTACGAATACTGAAAAGGACATAGAAGAAGCTGGTGAAGATAAGATAAGGAAATGAAGCTGTCTCATGAAACAATGGATCAGACTAATACACAAGTCAGGCCAAAACTGAAACTTAACAATTGTTTTCATCACCATATCAATTATTCTACGCTCTGCTGTACAACAAGGACATGTGAAGTAGAGTTGCAAAATTTCCCCCAAAGGCTGCTACCGGAACCGCCCCGCCCCACACAAATTTTCTGGGATACCGGCATGCTACCACGACCCAAGCAAAAACACCACCAAATTACCGGCATACTAAAAAAAACCTGCAATGTTGATTCTAGCTTACCCCTACAAGAGATGCCACACTTTGGCAATTTCAGTACCCATCCCAGTTCCCACCCAGCAGCCACCCAATGTCCAACCTAACTACGAACAGGATGATTTTGGCTCAGTTGGTCCCACAAATACCCACAATTTTGAAACTCAGTTCCAGTCTATAACTGTTAAAATATCACGTGTAATCAAAGAGGTATTGCCTACAAAAAAGCAGTAAGAAAAAAGCATCAAAAAAGCAATGACAAAAAGAACTTAAATTACTGAATTGTTTCTGAAGACTGGACAGTTCAAGTTAGCAGTAATCACATTAACATTCCAGAGGTGTTCTACTATTCCACATTCTCCTAAAATGTTGCAGGAACCTACCAACCAAAATCAAATTTTGAAATATAGATGGCCACAACATAAAAAGTACCTACAGATTCGGCCATGTGCCTGAGGAAGCGAGATCAACAGCTTTTTTCCTTTTCGCCATGGCTTGCTGGCTCATGAATAAGATACGAATCATTTGAAAAATGTGAAAACTCACTTGTCCTGATGTGAAAACGTGAAAAAAATGTGAAAACTCACTTGTCAAAATAATATGCATAAAAACGATATAATACCTGCTTTCTCGAAGAATCTTCCTCTCCAAACACAAGGTTATCAACTATCAAAGATTTCGAAACAGATGCGCCATAATAACAGAAACTTTTGACCAGCTGATTAAATTTCCGCAAAAAAGTTTCTGAATTGTAGCAAACTGCCCCATGAATGATTTGTTGATGTAAATGATCCAAAGCGATATTGAATTCTGATGTAATCAACATTGTGAGTTTAGTTCACTACAAGAAAATGCATTCCCTTTCAGGAATTAAACCGAAAAGGCATACGAATAAATATTAGGTCATCATCTTACATCCTTCCATCAGGGGAGAGAAGATCTAAAAAGCCAATCTTTGGTTCCCCTGTTATTCTGCGCCACTTTGTTTATTTTGTATGCATATTGTGTTTTCTTGTAAAGATGAGACAAAATGCCAGTTTATTTGATTTTCATTTCATTTTTGGGACCAAAGTCAGGCTCAGGTCTACCTAATACCTGCCTTTTCAGCTGGATTTTCAGTGTCAAATACTTTGTAGAGTATCTCAGACCACAACTCAGGACTCCAGTTTCCAAACAATGTGTTTTGTGGTGTTTTGATTCTGCCTTTTCCTCTAGGGAACGTTGTCATGAACATTTATTTATTTTGTTGTATTTTACCTATAACATAGGGTAGCTGTGGGGAAAACGCACCCCTGGGTTAAACGCCTCCCCTAAAAAAATCGTAGATCTTATCGGCGGATAGGTGTTTTATCCTGTCTTTCAGAACAGTCAGCTGCTTGTTTACGTAGTTCTCTATTTCCGGTTCTGCGTCTTGAGGAGCAGCGTGGGTAGGTGCTGATGTTGGTTTTGGGTGTTGTTTTTGTTGTTTTTACAGAAGATTCCTAAGCTTTTGATGCCGTCTTTATATCACAAAACTTGCTATTGTGCACATCACTCAAAACTGCGTTTTATTGTCATTCTGTTGAATTTATTATGCTGTGGCGTTAGTGGCGCGTTTTTTGTCAATATTTTGTTGACCGGAAATGGAGTGGATGGGGAAAGACGCCTACTCGATGCATGGGGCAAGACGCCCCCAGTTTTCTGAAAGGGGGGCGTTTTGCACGGTGGTGAGAGTGCAGGGTAGCGCCCTGTAGGTCGGGGCCGAAAAGGCCTCTCCCTGTCCTTTTTTGCTGATACATCCTAAACGACTGCAGATATCGTCACCAAACTTTCAGGACTCCTCCGGGCATCCATTTTACACATTGCAACAACATTTTATTCCAAAGGCTATGATAGGTTGACCACAAATGACGTCAGAATGACGTCAAGTTCTGCCATGTTCATCATTTTCTCTGTTGATGGATGGGGTGGGGGCGCTTTGCACATGGGTGTGGGCGTATTACCCAGGGTGAAGAAGAAGAAGAAGAAGAAGAAGAAGAAGAAGAAGAAGAAGAAGAAGAAGAAGAAGAAGAAGAAGAAGAAGAAGAAGAAGAATACGCCTCTTTTTGATCATGGTCATAGACAAACGCTCATACTAAATGGAAGAAAAATGCGGGTGTCGGCAAATTGTACCTGTGACCCCTCAATGTCCCTGAGGTCATCTCAGGTCATGAAGAAAAATGACCCAATCAATATCATTATGATTATAGACCTTTTTTTTCTCGAATTCCACTACTACGTGCCGCCCCCGACCCGAGCCACGATAACCGCTACAACAGGCGAATTAATTCACGCATTTATTTTGTTCCCAGACAATCGACATCTTTCAAGTACACGGTGCATCGGCGTCCTAAAATGTGACTGGCAAGGCCGCTCTATCTGGTGAAACTCAGTAAAGACGGTGCATCATCATCTAACTGAGGTACCTGTAAAGCTGACATCTTTATCACTATTCATTCGGTATCTGTGATGGACAGTGGGGAAGCGTGTGGGAAGTTGTGGGTGACGACAGCTTTGCCTTACGTAAAGCATCATATGTTTTTAAAACTTTTCTCTTTGTATTAGTTTTGCTATAGCGTGAGGCGTGCAATCGTATATCGAAATGAAAAAAGTAACTGGAAAAATAGCAGTATCTATCGACATTCCTTACATCTTTGCTTTGGTAAGGTCCTGACAAATGCTTTATTTATTCATATTAGCCGTTTTCACGACGGCCATCTGGTACACATTTGATGCACAGGTGGTACAGATAAAGTGCAGAATTGGTCAAATCAGGTTCAGTGTGTCCTCTTAGCAGCTATCAGCTAGCACTACTAGCTTATATGCACTAATTTCTTATATGCCTGCTTTGTCATATTTTCAGAGAGCCTCATCGATTAAAACACTGTAATAAATTCATAAAATGAAGCTATTTGCTGTAAAAGAAAGTACGTGCAGATTTGATCACATCAGGTGCATTCGCCGGATAGACCGTCGTGAACACGGCCATTAACTACTATTAAGATACATTTTTGTCGATACGTGCCTTATTCGTTACGTACATGATAAATCAGTACTTTTGCTGACGTACATGTGCAATACGTACTTTTGCGATGCATGCTTTTGTCTCCATGCAGCTAGGGGGGGGGGGGTAGAGCTAGTGGGGGGGGGGGGTAGAGCGCTGCCATACGTCGTGGTGTTCGACTGTGCTGCCATCTGATGTCGCACGACTGATAACTGTCGGCGCAGCGCCGCCGTCTCCATTTGCGTGTGTACAAACGCACGGTCGAGAGCCACTAATTCGAAATTATTTCGAGTTTGGCGATCTTTTGTGCTTACAGATACTTACCATGGTGAGGATAAACTGAAACTGCGTATACTTTGAATGTAACATAATGGACCACTCTTATCACTCGCCGTGGCCACTAGCGCTCACGCTATAGCTCTGCATCGTTACTAGTACTAATAGTTATCCCTTAACTGCATAAGTATCTAAAAGTGTTGTGCTTAAGTATCGCTTCTCGGCCTTTTGGCTAAGATCAAAGTGTAGTATCTGTTCTTATCAGCTTAATTGGCGAGAGCGTGCCCCATCCTTGACCTAGTACCTGCCCCGGCGACTCTGGCCCGCTCACGGAACTTCCCCTCCACATTGTGCGGCGACAGAAGAGGCGGATGTCGGGGTAAGGGCTAGGTCTCGCTTATTCCTTCTTTGCCAAATCCTCTCCTCGCCCTGCTGGGCGCCACCTCTCCTCCCTGGAGATGGTGTCACCTCCGGCCTCGTCTGGCCGGGTGCCCGCCGCAGGCGCCTCTTCTCCCTCGCCGGGCCCGGCAGCTCCGCAGCAGCCGTGGCTCGAGGGGGAGCTGCTGGTGCTGCCCAGCCCGCTGCCGCTGCACGTGTGCTGCCCTGTGGCGGGCTGTCCGCGGTCATACGCGAACCAGGCGCAGACTGCTGTCCGCCACAGCCTGCTGCGACACCTTCGGACGGACTTCCACCCCGGACTGTCGGTGACCGGGTCGGAGTGGCGCTGTGCGGCCTGTGGAGCCAAACTTGCCCGAAAAGTTTCGGCCCACAGATGCCCCCTCGGCCCTCTGAACCGCCCGGTCCCGGACGCGGCGTCAGCGTTCCGGCAGGAGTGCCACTGGTGCCGGAAGTGGTTTACGACCCGCCGTGGCGTACTCAACCACCGCGCCCGCTGCCCGCGCCGGCCGCCGCCCGCCCCGCCGCAGCCCACCGACTGGGCCGCTGCGCTGGCGCGGCTCCGTGCCGAGACGGCCCCCGCCGCCGGCGCCCCTGCAAGACCGGCGACACCGACGAGCCCGGAGATGGACCTGTCGCTGAGCCCTCCGCCGCCGCCACCTGGCCAGGGCCGGCCGCCGCCGCCACCGGAGCCTACACCGACGCCGTCACCGGAGCCGACACCGCCGCCGGCGCCCGAGGAGGAACGGCTCTCGCCGCCGCCGTCGCCTGGGCCGCTGCCCGAGCGGTGGTGGTCGCCGGCCCAGCCGTCACCGGAGGAGCCGACGTCGCCGCCGCTGGTGTTCCCGGCGCCCTCATCGGACTCGTCGGGGACTCCATCGCCGCCGTCGCCACTGGAGCGGCCTGACGCCGAGCGACGGCCCGCCGCCGACGGTGGTGAGCCGCCGCCGACTGGGACTCTGCAGCGTGGTGCCGAGCGCGCTGGACAGTGCTGCGACAAAGTGACAGTGCCGAACGCGAGTGACTCGTCTGTGCCAGTGCCGCCCGCGTTAGTGCCGCCCGCGTTAGTGCCGCCCGTGACAGTGCCGCCCGCGTCAGTGCCGCCCGTGACAGTGTCGCCCGCGTCAGTGCCGCCCGCGCCGGAACCGAGTCCGGCCGCGCCCGTGCCGCCAGTGATGCCGCCCTCGGCGGAGTCGACGACGCCGGCCTGGCCCTCGCGGCTGCGGCCCCCATCGTCCGCCTCTCCGGACCCGCGCCCTCGCCCCGGCGTTAACCGCGTCGGTGGAGCGTCGGCGACGACACCGCGCCGGGGCCGCCGCTCGCCTAACCTGACGTCCTCGTGGTTCTGGCTGCGGGGCCCCGGCGTCGGCGCGAGGAGGGAGCCGTCGGCCGACAGCTCGGACTCATCGCCAGACTCGCCGTCCCCAGCGCCCACGCTGTACCTGCCGCCTAGCTCCAGCTCGTCGGACTCTTCATCAGCTGCTGGCAGCGAGCCGGCCGCGTCTCCGGGCCGGGCGGCGCGCCGCCGCCGCTACCGAGCCAAGCGCCGAGCGGAGCGCCGCCGCTCGGGCCACGTGGTGCCCGAGGCCGCTCCGCCACTCGCGGGCGCCGGCCCTGCGCGGACGGCTCCGCCCGCGCTGCTCCCTGGGACAGCGCCGCCGCCGCGGAGCCCGCCAGTGTCGCGCCGGCCGCCGCCGCCGCCGCCCGGGCCGCCGCCACCGCCACCGGAACGGGACTCGCCGCCCTCTCGCCGGCCGCCGGAGAGAGCGCCGCCAGACGCGCGGTGGTCGCCGCCGGAGCGGGACCTGCCGGCGCGGCGCCCGCCGCCTCCATCAAACGGACAGACCGCAGCCGTGCCCGCCCCGCGACGGCGCGGCGGACGGCGCGGGCGAGGAGGACGAGGTGGCGGCCAGCGATGTGCCGAAGTGCGGGACGACGTGACAACCACGGTAAGCGACCGCCGCGACCCGCCCCAGGAGGTGACGCCCCCGCCCCAGCCCACCCCGCGACCCGATGCTCCCCCGCCCACCCCGGGACCCGATGCTCCCCAGCCCACCCCGCCGGCCGGCGCTCCCCCGGCCGAGGCGGCGGCCCCGGCCTCGCGCTCCCGTGCTGGCCGTGGCCGTGGTCGCGGCCGGGGAGGCGCCGCGTCTGCCCGAGCCCAACCCCAGGCCCAGGAGCCCGAGCTTACCGAGCTCCAGAGGCTCTACCTCCCTCGTTTGGAGCAACTTCTAGCTGCCGACGCCGAGTGGGCGGCTTGCGAGGAGGTGCTGACCGCGATGGTGGCCGAGGCGAGCCGGCGGAACGAAGCCTACCACGCTAAGCGCGCGGAGGAGACGGACCGCCGCCGCCGCCAGCCGCCGCCTGACCGGCAGCGCCTCCGCCGCGACCCGCCCCGGCGGCCCGACCCGGCCGGCCGCCCGGCCGCTGCGCCGGCCCCACCCCCCGGACCCAACCCCGTCCCGGCTCCCCCGGCGGAGGGCGCCGCGCCGCCGCCGCCGCCGCCGGCCGACCGACGCCGCCAGTACCGCCCACCGCAGTACGACCCGGCCGAGGCAAGCCGGCTGCAGCGCCTCTACCGCACCAACCGAGCCCGTGCTATGAGGGAGGTGCTGGCTGAGGACGGCCCGCGGTGCTCGCTGGACCCCGCCGCTATTCGCTCTCACTTCTCTCCGTCTCCCACCGCCGACCCTCCCGTGGACTGGGACGCCCGCCCGCCCTGTGTACCGGAGCTCGGGGAAGCCAGTCAATGCGACGGGCTGACCCGGCCCTTCACTGAGGACGAGGTGTGGCAGCGCCTGCGCTCCGCCGCCAACACGGCGCCCGGCCCTGACGGGCTGCGCTATGTGGCGTGGCGTGCCCTCGACCCCGGCGCCCGCCTGCTGACTCTGGCATACAACGTGTGCAAGAGCCACCGGCGGCTGCCGGGCGAGTGGGGCAAGAGCAGCACGGTGCTCATCCACAAGGGGGGCGACGCCGACGACCCGTCGTGCTGGCGACCCATCGCCCTCATCAGCACGATCGCCAAAGTGTACGCCGGTCTGTGGGCCGACCGGCTCTCCCGTTGGGCGGAAGGGGAAGACCTCCTGTCCCCAGGGCAGAAAGGCTTCCGGCACTATGACGGAGTATTGGAGCACAACTTCATACTCCAGAGTGCACTGACTGCCTCTCGGCGAGCGGCCGGCGGTGAGCTGCACGTTTGCTTTGTCGACCTGACAAACGCATTCGGCAGCCTGTCGCATAGTTACCTGTGGGACGTGCTGGCGCGCCTGGGCCTCGAGCCTGAGGTGCTGCTCGCCCTGCAGAGTATTTATGACGGCACCACTACCGTCTACGCCACGGCGCGGGGCGTGTCCGAGCCGGCACCAGTCGTGCGAGGCGTGCGTCAGGGCTGTCCGCTGAGCGGCGTCCTGTTCGCCCTTGCCATGGAGCCGCTTGTACGCGCCCTGAACGGGATTGACGGCGTCGAGGCGCTCGCCTTTGCCGACGACGTGGCGCTGCTCTGCCGAGACCACCCGGCCCTGGAGAGCGCGCTGACCGCGCTGGAGGATGTGTGCGCCTGGTGCGGCCTCCATCCTAATCCGCGCAAGTCCGGCCTGCTGTCGATCGGCCCGGCCCCGCCCCCCGCTCAGCTGTGCGGCCAGCCGCTGCCAGTGGTGGGGGAGGGGGGCTCGTACCGGTACCTGGGCCGGCCCGTCGGCCACTCCCGCCTCTCCTGCCCGCCGACCGAGGTGCTGGACGACGCGCGGCGTGCCGCTGAGCGGGTGACGGACAGCGCTCTCGCCCCGTGGCAGAAGCTGGACGCCCTCCGCTCCTGCGTCATGCCGCGGCTGACGCACTGCCTCCGGCTCGGCCTCCTCCCCAAGACGGCGCTGCGCAGTCTGGACGCTGCAATTCGGTGGCGGGTGAAGGGCGTCCTGAACCTGCCCTCCCGTGCCAGCGCCGAGTACTTGTACTCTGGCGTGGCGCAGGGCTGTGTCGGCCTTACGGAGCTGGCCGTGGAGGCGGACATGCTGCTGGTGGCTTCCACCTGGCAGCTGCTCACCTCCCCGGACGAGGCTGTGAGGACGACTGCCGAGGACCAGCTGACAGAGTGCGTGCGCCGCCGCCTCTCCGCCCCGCCCACCGCAGCGCAGGTCGCCGGCTACCTGAACGGCGAGGCCATGCGCGACGGCGGTGACGTCGCGACCCGGTTCAGCCGGGCGCGTGTCGCCACCAAAGCGCTGGCCAAGCTGGTCGGGATACGCTGGCAGGCGGCCGACGGCCAGCTGTCTTTGACGCTGGACGGCGAGCCGCTGCCGCGCGGCAAGGCGGCCGCGCTGCTCCGGGACGCCGTCCGCCGCGCCGCCGCAGCCCGCCTGCACACCAAGCCCCATCAGGGCAAGGTGATGCGCTGTGTGGCCGACCAGCGCATCAGCAGCCACTATATGTACAACGGTGACTACATCCGGTTCGCCGAGTGGCGCTTTGTCCACCGAGCGCGCCTGGGGCTGGTGCCTCTGAACGGGGCCCGCCACGGCGCTGCGCCGGGGGACCAGCGCTGCCGGCGCTGTGGACACGCCAGCGAGACCCTGCCCCACGTGCTGTGTCACTGCATGCAGCGGCATAGCGTGGCCTACCAGCGGCGCCACGACGCTCTCCTGGCTCGCCTGGCGAACGCGGTCCGGCGGGACGGAGTCGACGTCCGAGTTAACCGACAGGTGCCGGGCGTGCAGTCCACGCTGCGCCCCGACCTGGTGGTCACTCGTGACGGCGGCGCCACCGTCGTGCTCGCCGACGTCACGGTGGCCTTTGAGAACGGCCCCGAGGCCCTGCAAGCCGCCAGCGACGCCAAGGTGCGCAAGTACGCGCCCCTTGTCGCGGAGCTGCGAGCAGCGGGTAAGGAGGCCAGCGTCGTTGCTCTGGTGGTTGGCCCGCTGGGCACGTGGTGGCGGGGCAACGAGGTGGTGCTGCGCCGGCTCCGCGTCAGTCGTGCCTACGCCCGCCTCATGCGCCGCCTGATGGTGTCCGACACGCTGCGGTGGTCCCGTGATGTGTACATCGAGCACATCACGGGCCACCGCCAGTATCAATAGGCGCCGCCCACTTCTGGCGGCCGGCGGCGCCCCGCCCCTGCTCACCGACCGGCCGGGCAGCCGACGCCGGCCCTCCCCCCCAATCCCTCCCCGTCACCTGGGCGGGCACGGCACGGCCCTGCGTGGCCGTTGGGTCGCTGGGCCCTGCGAGGCCCATATTAGTGTTTATGTGTGTATGTGTTTGTGACGCCTTGCAAGACCTGTGCTGCGTTTTCTAAAGTACCTTCGCCTGTATATAAATGTTCCAAGTGCCAAAGTGTAACAATGTCTTTCGGCCTATGGGTATTTTGTTTTGTATTATAGTTTGTTTTGTTTTGTTCTCTTTATTATTTTCTCTAATGTGTGTATATACCCAGTGTGCCATATCTCGCTACGTTTTGAAGGCTAGAGCCTCCAATCACAGCTGGAGACTCGCCTTATGTCGTGCTTGAGCGTGCCCCACTACGGGCAACACTGTAATCATCTCCTTTCTGATGATCTGTCTTGAAACATGTGTTTTTTGAATAAAATCTGTTCTTATCAGCTTAATATCTGATACGTCCCCTACATGGGGACCAGAATATTAAACTGATTTTTGGACTTTGGCGGGGTTTTTGGAGCTTGCTCCAGCCCTGCCGCGGGTTGGCCTGGCATTGCACTACAGCCAGGATCGGCCCACTTTTGTTATCATGCGTTGTGATATGTAGTGAAATAAAAGGATAAAGATACTTTTAAGATATCTGACAATAAAAATTGACAAAACATGAAAATACGCCTCTTTTTGATCACGGTCATAGACAAACGCTCATACTAAATGGAATAAAAATGCGGGTATCGGCAAATTGTACCTGTGACCGCTCAATGTCCCTGAGGTCATCTCAGGTCATGAAGAAAAATGACCCAATCAATATCATTATGATTATAGACGTTTTTTTCTCGAATACCGCTACTACGTGCCGCCCCCGACCCGAGCCACGATAACCGCTACAATAGGCGAATTAATTCACGCATTTATTTTGTTCCCAGACAATCGACATCTTTCAAGTACACGGTGCATCGGCGTCCTAAAATGTGACTGGCAAGGCCGCTCTATCTGGTGACACTCAGTAAAGACGGTGCATCATCATCTAACTGAGGTACCTGTAAAGCTGACATCTTTATCACTATTCATTCGGTATCTGTGATGGACAGTGGGGAAGCGTGTGGGAAGTTGTGGGTGACGACAGCTTTGCCTTACGTAAAGCATCATATGTTTTTAAAACTTTTCTCTTTGTATTAGTTTTGCTACAGCGTGAGGCGTGCAATCGTATATCGAAATGAAAAAAAGTAACTGGAAAAATAGCAGTATCTATCGACATTCCTTAGATCTGTGCTTTGGTAAGGTCCTGACAAATGCTTTATTTATTCATATTAGCCGTTTTCACGACGGCCATCTGGTACACATTTGATGCACAGGTGGTACAGATAAGGTGCAGAATTGGTCAAATCAGCTAGAATCAGCTAGAAGAATCAGCTAGCACTACTAGCTTATATGCACTAATTTCTTATATGCCTGCTTTGTCATATTTTCAGAGAGCATCATCGATTAAAACACTGTAATAAATTCATAAAATGAAGCTATTTCCTGTAAAAGAAATTACGTGCAGATTTGATCAAATCAGGTGCATTCGCCGGATAGACCGTCGTGAAAACGGCCATTAACTACTATTAAGATACATTTTTGTCGATACGTGCCTTATTCGTTACGTGCATGATTAATCAGTACTTTTGCTGACGTACATGTGCAATACGTACTTTTGCGTTGCATGCTTTTGTCTGCATGCAGCTGCTAGGGGGGGGGGGGGGGGATAGAGCGCTGCCATACGTCGTGGTGTTCGACTGTGCTGCCATCTGATGTCGCACGACTGATAACTGTCGGCGCGGCGCCGCCGTCTCCATTTGCGTGTGTACAAACGCACGGTCGAGAGCCACTAATTCGAAATTATTTCCAGTTTGGCGATCTTTTGTGCTTACAGATACTTACCATGGTGAGGATAAACTGGAACTGCGTATACTTTGAATGTAACATAATGGACCACTCTTATCACTCGCCGTGGCCACTAGCGCTCACGCTATAGCTCTGCATCGTTACTAGTACTAATAGTTATCCCTTAACTGCATAAGTATCTAAAAATGTTGTGCTTAAGTATCGCTTCTCGGCCTTTTGGCTAAGATCAAAGTGTAGTATCTGTACGGAGCCTGGTCACCTCCAGGGCCGCCGCCCTTTGGGGGCGGGGGGCGGGTCTTGGCCCCGGATATTTGCACACCGGTCTGAAACCACTAGGTCGGGATATATTTGCTCTTGGTTGGCTTACCTTTCTCAAACCCATGCCACCAACATGCACTTATATACACACCTCTGTTCTTATCAGCTTAATATCTGATACGTCCCCTACATGGGGACCAGAATATTAAACTGATTTTTGGACTTTGGCGGGGTTTTTGGAGCTTGCTCCAGCCCTGCCGCGGGTTGGCCTGGCATTGCACTACAGCCAGGATCGGCCCACTTTTGTTATCATGCGTTGTGATATGTAGTGAAATAAAAGGATAAAGATACTTTTAAGATATCTGACAATAAAAATTGACAAAACATGAAAATACGCCTCTTTTTGATCACGGTCATAGACAAACGCTCATACTAAATGGAATAAAAATGCGGGTATCGGCAAATTGTACCTGTGACCGCTCAATGTCCCTGAGGTCATCTCAGGTCATGAAGAAAAATGACCCAATCAATATCATTATGATTATAGACGTTTTTTTCTCGAATACCGCTACTACGTGCCGCCCCCGACCCGAGCCACGATAACCGCTACAATAGGCGAATTAATTCACGCATTTATTTTGTTCCCAGACAATCGACATCTTTCAAGTACACGGTGCATCGGCGTCCTAAAATGTGACTGGCAAGGCCGCTCTATCTGGTGACACTCAGTAAAGACGGTGCATCATCATCTAACTGAGGTACCTGTAAAGCTGACATCTTTATCACTATTCATTCGGTATCTGTGATGGACAGTGGGGAAGCGTGTGGGAAGTTGTGGGTGACGACAGCTTTGCCTTACGTAAAGCATCATATGTTTTTAAAACTTTTCTCTTTGTATTAGTTTTGCTACAGCGTGAGGCGTGCAATCGTATATCGAAATGAAAAAAAGTAACTGGAAAAATAGCAGTATCTATCGACATTCCTTAGATCTGTGCTTTGGTAAGGTCCTGACAAATGCTTTATTTATTCATATTAGCCGTTTTCACGACGGCCATCTGGTACACATTTGATGCACAGGTGGTACAGATAAGGTGCAGAATTGGTCAAATCAGCTAGAATCAGCTAGAAGAATCAGCTAGCACTACTAGCTTATATGCACTAATTTCTTATATGCCTGCTTTGTCATATTTTCAGAGAGCATCATCGATTAAAACACTGTAATAAATTCATAAAATGAAGCTATTTCCTGTAAAAGAAATTACGTGCAGATTTGATCAAATCAGGTGCATTCGCCGGATAGACCGTCGTGAAAACGGCCATTAACTACTATTAAGATACATTTTTGTCGATACGTGCCTTATTCGTTACGTGCATGATTAATCAGTACTTTTGCTGACGTACATGTGCAATACGTACTTTTGCGTTGCATGCTTTTGTCTGCATGCAGCTGCTAGGGGGGGGGGGGATAGAGCGCTGCCATACGTCGTGGTGTTCGACTGTGCTGCCATCTGATGTCGCACGACTGATAACTGTCGGCGCGGCGCCGCCGTCTCCATTTGCGTGTGTACAAACGCACGGTCGAGAGCCACTAATTCGAAATTATTTCCAGTTTGGCGATCTTTTGTGCTTACAGATACTTACCATGGTGAGGATAAACTGGAACTGCGTATACTTTGAATGTAACATAATGGACCACTCTTATCACTCGCCGTGGCCACTAGCGCTCACGCTATAGCTCTGCATCGTTACTAGTACTAATAGTTATCCCTTAACTGCATAAGTATCTAAAAATGTTGTGCTTAAGTATCGCTTCTCGGCCTTTTGGCTAAGATCAAAGTGTAGTATCTGTTCTTATCAGCTTAATATCTGATACGTCCCCTACATGGGGACCAGAATATTAAACTGATTTTTGGACTTTGGCGGGGTTTTTGGAGCTTGCTCCAGCCCTGCCGCGGGTTGGCCTGGCATTGCACTACAGCCAGGATCGGCCCACTTTTGTTATCATGCGTTGTGATATGTAGTGAAATAAAAGGATAAAGATACTTTTAAGATATCTGACAATAAAAATTGACAAAACATGAAAATACGCCTCTTTTTGATCACGGTCATAGACAAACGCTCATACTAAATGGAATAAAAATGCGGGTATCGGCAAATTGTACCTGTGACCGCTCAATGTCCCTGAGGTCATCTCAGGTCATGAAGAAAAATGACCCAATCAATATCATTATGATTATAGACGTTTTTTTCTCGAATACCGCTACTACGTGCCGCCCCCGACCCGAGCCACGATAACCGCTACAATAGGCGAATTAATTCACGCATTTATTTTGTTCCCAGACAATCGACATCTTTCAAGTACACGGTGCATCGGCGTCCTAAAATGTGACTGGCAAGGCCGCTCTATCTGGTGACACTCAGTAAAGACGGTGCATCATCATCTAACTGAGGTACCTGTAAAGCTGACATCTTTATCACTATTCATTCGGTATCTGTGATGGACAGTGGGGAAGCGTGTGGGAAGTTGTGGGTGACGACAGCTTTGCCTTACGTAAAGCATCATATGTTTTTAAAACTTTTCTCTTTGTATTAGTTTTGCTACAGCGTGAGGCGTGCAATCGTATATCGAAATGAAAAAAAGTAACTGGAAAAATAGCAGTATCTATCGACATTCCTTAGATCTGTGCTTTGGTAAGGTCCTGACAAATGCTTTATTTATTCATATTAGCCGTTTTCACGACGGCCATCTGGTACACATTTGATGCACAGGTGGTAC